TGTCTATTAACCTTATCTAGACTGTAAACCGCTGTTAATTACTGCTTTTTTTTACTTGTTAGTACAATCCTGAGTAGAGTTTTTACTGGATTAGTTTTAAGCTACTTTTGTGCTTCATGGAATAGACATTAAATTGCATATTATTTTGAATATTATGAATTTCAATAATAGCTTAAAGTAGCTTTATCAAGTATAACTTTCTAGGTAACCGAAATGTCCAATTTATGTGATAACTTCGTTTCCTATTATCCTGTTGCAGAATATTTAATTTAGTTTTCACAAAGAATAAACTTTACACAGCCGAATAAATTTAGGCTAAGAATACATTACTAATTGATAAAAATGAACGTTTGCGTGACACTACCTAGAGAGGGCTTCCCAGTCACAACGTCTGATACCCTCGTGAGTAGGGTCGAGGCCAGAGATAAAAACCTTCTGTTGGACGTGGTTTTTATTGATCTTAGCAAGGCATTCGACAAAGTATCCCACTTAGGTCTCCTTAGTAAACTTAAAGGTTTCGGACTAGACCAATGCCTATGTGAGTGGTTTAGGGATTACCTAATGGATAGAAGGCAGAAGGTTAGAGTTAACGGTGTACTATCAGGGTGGAAAGCAGTATCCAGTGGAGTACCTCAGGGAACTGTGTTAGGCCCCTTGCTACTCCTATTATACGTTAATGAGCTACCGGGGATTCTTACTTCATCTTCATTGTTATTTGCAGACGACATTAAGATATGGAAAACTGTAAATAATAACGAGGATAGGTCGGCCCTACAAACTGATCTAGATAAATTAGCTGAGTGGTCGAACCTGTGGAGTTTGGAAATGAATTCTAGGAAAAGCGCGGTAATGCACTTAGGTCAGAAGTCTTATACGTCGTACTCCCTAGGGGACACAGAACTACCTGATGTTAACGAACAGAAGGACCTAGGAATCATTGTCAGCAATGATTTGAAAACAACTGCAAATTGCAATGCAGCCGCAGCTAAGGCTTTTCGAATGCTATGGGCACTCCGAAGGGCTTTCAAACGATTAGATGAGGGCATGTTCCAAATACTCTACGCAACATATGTCAGGCCTCATCTAGAATACTGCGTACAAGCGGCGGGTCCATGCTTCAAAAAGGAGGCACATATCCTGGAAAGAGTACAGAGAGTAGGAACGAAATTAGTTAGTGGTATCTCACACCTTCCTTATGATAAGAGGATGGAGCATTTAAATCTCTTTCCGTTATCATACCGAAGGAAGAGAGGCGACTTAATTTTAGCATACCGTATACTTAAGGGTGATTTAGGAACTGACCTTTCTAAACTTTTCTCCCCTTCTAGGATACATTTACGGGGTCACCGCAAAAAGGTGCTCAAACCGAGGACGATTAAAATACGTGCAGAATTTAGATTCTCTCACAGAGTGGTCAACGACTGGAACTCCTTACCTGATTCAGTAGTAACAGCTCCATCGGTGAACGCTTTCAAAGAGAAGTTAGATCTCTGCAGAGATATATTTTGCAAGGATTAACACAGGCCACAAGAGCCTTCTATCCTTATCAACTGAATCTGAATAGTCTAGTAAATAACTGATTAGTGTGATGTACACTGTCCACAAGCTTCTAAAATTCCTGTTGGTCATGTGTTGGCTACATGTCAAAACTTAAGCTAATGCCAAGCAGTTGTCAATTTAAATTCTCTGACTTTAGAGTCCGAAATCACCATCTAGATGCCTACATTTCTGTATTATTAGAATCCTCCGCGCTTAAAAGATAACATTTTCAGGGAATTATAAGCATAGTTAACTGGTGCGCATATAAAGAATATAAAGAGATGTCAACTTTGGTTATGACCAAATTGAGATTCAATTTTAGAACTGGAAGATACCATAAGCGACTTTCGCTTGAGGTCAGTTAGAAAAAAAAGGGCATTTTCTACAATAATAATTAGTATACAGATCACCTACAACGTTATAAGAAACCGATGTGGAAGTGGTACTGAGATCCAATGGATAAACGCATTCAGAGTCTGTATGGACCTGGATATGTCCACTGTGTGGCTGGATTATATCATGGACACCTGACTGACTGGTTTCAACATAGATCTTTGCACAGATGTGCAGCAATTCGAGCTGCCACACCACACAAAGCAAGAGAAGAGAGAGTAAAGAGGGATAATAAACAGAAGTGTGATTGAGGCAAAAGGAATAGTAATATGCAAGAACAATAGAGTTGTATTGGATATGGACACCTTAGACACTGAATTGCTATCAGGGTAGATTCTTGTTAGTTCTGAGTAAGCCTTCTCATTTAAGACGTTGAAAATTGAAGTCTTTCGGACACACCTCACATGCGATTACCCCTCTCCTCCTCGAATGAATGTGGCATAATCCTATAGATCCCTACAAACGAATTAGCCTAATACTCACGGGAGAATGACATTGTCTGCATTTCTAGTGAGACTTTTGACCAGTGGGGTCCACTAGTCACTTGTGATAACAAATACTTACCGACGATATTAGTTGGTAGTGGTGCGATGTGTTGAGAGTTGGCAGAAGTTAGAACTCATGCACAACTGGGTTCCGTCCCTGCGGCATGCGCTCGCCTAGTTACCAGTCACCGGAGGATATCGGATTCAATCCCCGATAGGGTCATGGATGAGCAATGCTACGGGGTGCCAAACAGCTGTCTAATATTCTCTGGTATTCAGTGGTTCTCTGACTGATGTCAGTTAATGATCTAACTCCAAACCAGCCAAATTCCAGCAAATAATCCTGATAAACGACCATTAAGCACTGACCCTTATTATAAGGATGGGAAATGAAATAATGGCATGTGTTCACCACTTCAATTACTTGTGAAGTTGACAATTCAGTTACTTATCAAGTACCATGAGCGGCATATTTATCTTCGGCTGAGACATGTTTGTTGTGTGTAAAAGACAAACCTTCTTTGACTATATGTACCTTTGTTCACTCTCTTCTGTTAGGTGGAATAATAATAATAATGAGGTTAGGGAATGTCAGTGAGCTTGTAAAATCTCAATGATTAAGACTTCTGTTATGCGTGTCGAGATAGCACCTTCCTTGACCAGCGATGTTAGCTAGAATGGGACTATTTTAAGGAGTCTGGAGTTGTCAGATGGTGGCGTTAATCCATGGAGTTTTTAGTATGAGACAAGTAGGAAGACATGGACTGCCGAGATAGGGTGCTCAGTATGCTGAGAATCAATTGTCGGCTTAAACCTGTTTACAGTAATACAGATGTACTCCTTGTCATCTTTCAGATTCGAATAATTCTCAGTTAGTTTTTGACCTTTTAAAACTTTTTCCATTGTAGTTTCACTACGCCTTTCGCTTAATTTTGCTGCGTGTTACTCCGAAGTGCAACTAATGGACTTCTACGTTGTTAATTCGGTCACTTATCTCTGAAAATCAAACAGAAGGGAGAGAATTCAAATACGATGACACAACTTCAAACAAACGACTACGCGGAAAGGAAATGACTGAATGAAAGCCTGGAATTTCACAAATGATAAAGAATGAATACATCTCCAATTGGAATGACACAACGCCTATAGCGTCAGCTATTGAGCCATATTACCAATTGTCTCCAGCCTCCATTGGTGTTTACCCTCCCGAGGACTGCAACCAGGAAGTCTACACCTTCCTACGTGTTGTGGATTTCACTGACTGATGAAGCCATGTTTTGGTTTGACCATCACTGGCTCTTTTCCAACCTGACCCTATGTCAGCTAACATTGCCAGTCAAGGAAGGCGAGTTGTTGTTAATACCACATCACTGTATGGTATTTAAAATAAACTTAGCCAGTATGGAATTAGATTATACCAGATTATACCACAGTGCCCAAGTTCTACACTTACATTATATATGCATCATTATGAACGATTCTGAAACGTCATTAATGGTCTCAATCTATGAACAAACCTCATTCACATAAACTACACAGTACATGACTCACATCATTAAACCAAACTTGTCTTTCTATCCGAAGACTTCTTATCTTTTCCAATCTATTCGTATGTCAGCTAACACTGTCTTTGGAGGAGGCCAGTGCCTCTTCATACGCAAAACACATCGGAACTATATCAGGCGATGGGTATTCTCAATTTTAGTGAATGGTTTGTCCTCAACGCAAACTACGTTTAAACTTACTATGATATATTATATAAGTAATCCTTCGACGAGAGCTGCCTTCAAAAAAGAGCACAAGATTTTTCAAATTCTCCTAGTTTCAGTATTTACTAGGAGTAAAATGGGATAGAGTTGACTGTTGTGCATTGGTACGATATCTTAGGGACACGACGACACATATTAAACGAGAGTTTTCTACCCATCCTAATGCTAATCCATAAAAAGATGAATTTTAACGAATTCTACCTTATCAATACACATCTGCCTAAAAGGGATTCAAAACGTCGAACCAAGCTGATTGGCTTAAGCACATCACTTACATCCACACCACCTGTATCAGCCTTGGTAATCCAGCCCTTACATAACAAATATGACTGGTAGACTTGAGAAAAAAACAGTAAAGCTACAGACGATTCTACAAGGGATGAAGTACACAAAGAAAGATGTCTAATGCTCTAACTGTATACATAAAACCAAACACGACGTCCAGGTATGTTATGAGGAACTTTCAAGCCACAGGAGTCCGAACCTTCAGTAGTGCAACCGTTGAGAGAGATAGGGGACCTGAATGACGTTTAGAACAACCAATTTGTAAGCTAGCACAGCGTTAGTTTTCTAGTGATGTAACAGCCACTGAACCTCCTGAAACCACAAAATAACACTAATATTTTTCTCAAAATTCGTACTATCTGGATTTTAACCACATGTTACAATCCTCTAACTTCTAATCCTACCTAACATATCGTATAATTTTTTTCCACGTAAAAGAAGTGTGTTCATATTCGTTGTTACACTTTATAACTCAAGAAAGCCTACTTACCTGATATAAACACAATCTTACTAATATCCTGATATTTATTCCGGCAACATTAGCGCCTGTTTGTCTTTAAATCAACTGGTATGCAAAACCTTCTCCATCAAATTTTGGTAAAATTATTCCATTATATATACAACTGGCGAGAAGTGGTATACTAAGGCATTCATAAAGTTCTTGCTTTGTTCAAGTTTCTTCATTATAGGGAATCTTTTTTTTGGTAAAACATTTCACTGAATATAACATTAGTAAGTTAATTAAATTTTAAGAATTAACCTATTTAACACAATATTATTTAAGGAAAAAAAAGCAAACAAGTGTGAAGAGATATCACTTCAACAAAGACAACAGTATCACTGGGATTAACCAAAAAAACCGACATCAGCAGTGTTCATTTTGAAGGTTATTCCAACCCAGATAATACATAATAAATACTTGTGAAAAGAGTATATATCACTTACAAATAATAAAAATAAAGTAGAAAAGTAAGTTTAAATATACATTAACAAAGAAAAGACAGTAAAAGTTTTGCCAACCAGAGAGGGCGAGACTCATTTATGTTACAGTTATTGTTTCTGTCAGATCTTATTACCTCACTATTTCAGATTTACATACTGACTAGGGAAAGAAAATGAATGGTGTCCATTACCAACATCGAAAGTGAGCCAGCCAATATTGGGGACTGTATTCCAGGAAAGTGTTAACGTAACATTGTCATTCCCGACTAATCCGTGACCATCGTCCCAGAAGTAGTACTTTGAAGTCATTTTCTTATACACTAATTCTGCCTTTGATCCACGTTTGATGATTTTATCCCACAAGACTACTTGATTCAACTTGTTGTCTGACGTCTTGTATTCTGCAGTGAGGTAGATGAATAATTGTTTAACATTCCAGTTGAAAAGATGATCTAGAGAAGACTGCGAAAATTACTTAAATCACTGTCTTACTGATAAGTCAATGGTAACCAAACCTAAATCATTGTGATAGCCTTTATTGAGTGTATAATCATCAGCTTTGTCGACCATTGCACGATCAACGTTGATTTCAATTGAAGCTGATGGTCGAACATTTACGGTTGACAGGAAGCAGAGGAACATCAATACAGAAAGCATTGTTAGCGTGATGGTTAGCAGCGCACTGCACCTATTCAGTAAGGAATACATTTCTTAACGTGTAGTGAACACGTAAAAACCGGCCGCCTTGATGCGTATAGAAAACAGTGTGTACACGTTAGTGAAGTAAAACAATATCCACAATCCAGATTCTCACTTACTGTATGCCTTCGACACATAACAATTTCTTCATTTTCCGGTTAAACCTAAATTAAATACTTCATTTTCGTCCTACGTAGGATTCTTAACAGGAATGGAATTAGATTTCAGGTTTGCTGATTGAGGATAAAAAGCTTGGAGCATAAGTCAATCCTTTACAAGTAACTTTCCGTGGCCGTTCAAACCCTTCTTGAATGGGTCAGCTGAGGTTGAGACACCAAGTGCACTTCTTATGGGAGTCCGTTCCGGGAGTTTATGCCTCAGTGTGAGAACCAGTACTCCTTAGCAACATGGTTTCTCCTTCGTTTTGGACTCTCCTGCTACGTCCTCTAAGGTATTCCGACCTGGAAAGAAGGAAAAGGAAGAATATATCAGGTCCGTAGTCATTATTTAAAATTTAAACATTGTAATCAAATCTCTTCTCTGCCTACAGTATGGTAGGGAGATGAAGTTTAAACTATCTAGTCCTTCCTGGTATGATAGGTTAGTCATGCCAGGAATCATACGTGTTGCCTTCGTTTGAAACCTTTATAGAATATGTGAGTCCCCTTAAAGACGAGGACTGCCTGCCTGCCTCGATACAGTTTCCCAGTCTAGGCCTCACCAGAGATGCATGTAGGCAGGTGAACATATCTCTTGTGATTCTGGTGAACTCTCTACGAGTATCCCATAAAGATATGAAACTACACGCAGCCACCACAGCGACAATGTGCTGCAGTTCTTAAGTTGTGAATTACTGTGACACCTACATTCAAATGAGTCTAAACTGATGGGAGTCTTATTCCCTCAAGTTTGTGGGGGCTAATGCTTGCGTCTCCAATGCGCATGGTTGCATATTTCGCTGCGCTGATCGGGAGCATCCATTCTGTGGACCACTCTAACGATTTGTTGAGGTCTTCTTGCAACGTGAATGTATCACTGCCGCTCTTCAGCTCTCTCCAGATTTTTAAGTCATCTGCGTATAGGACCATTGGGGAATCGATGAGCACAGACTAACTCATTGATATACAAACTAAATAAGAGAGGCCCGAGTACCGTGTCTTGTGGCACTCTGCTACGTACTGTTGTCCTGGTGGAGAGTTTTGAGTTGATCTTGACCCCTCCCTCTGTTTTCAGTAGATGAGAGATTCTCTAATTCAGTTTAGTAAGCCGCCTTTGATACCAAGACCCTCCAACTTCTTGAGGAGTCTCTTGTGAGGAACTTTATCGAAGGCTATGCTGTTGTCTATGGAGACGCCGTCAGTAGGTCTTCTATCGTCCCTTGACTTGACCTGACTTCCTCCAGCTGTGAGAAGGTTTGACAGGCATGAAGGACTACTTCGGAAGCCATGCTGTGCTCTGGATGACAAGTTTTTGCTTTCCGGATATGCCAAAATAGAATTGTTGATGATTCTTTCCAGTGTCTTGATTAAGGTGCTGGTGAGACTAATAAGTCTGTAGTTTGAAAGGCTTTGTCCTGATCCTGCTTTGTGGATGGGGAGAGGGTCACTATGGTGTTTTTCCAGTCGCGTGATAACTCTCCATTTAGGAGAGATAGCTTGAAGATCGTGGCCAGTAGGCCGGCTGTGTGAGCTGATAGCTCCTTGATAAGCCTAGGATGAAGATTAACAGGACCCATTGATTTCCCTGCATCTAGTTTCGTTAGGCAGTTGAGTATGATTTCTTGGTCAACATCAACGAAGTCTATCCTGTGTTCTTCTGATGCAGCCAGAGTTGATCTTATGGGGAGTGATGACTCCTGTGTAAATACTTGGAAGAAGTAGGCTGTCATTGTTTCTGCTTTTCCTTGATCTGCTTCGATTGTGTCGTTGTCAATAGTCAGATTTGGGACCCGATTGAGTGTCTCATTCCTGAAGTTCATGTACGAGAACATTTTCGTAGGTTTTGCCGTTGTATTTTGAGCCAGATGTGCTTTGGACATCATCCTTGATTGGCAGATTTCTGCGACAGCTTTGTTCCCAGCAATGTTGTATAACTTTGTGGTCTGAGGAGTCTCAAGTGTGTTAAACAGATTCCAGCATTTGTGTTCACGTTTGAGTGATTTACAGATCTCTTGGTTTATCCTTGGTAGATAATGTGTGATATTAACATATATGTAAACCTTGGGCACTGCTGTAATAGGTAATGTTTGGGAGTTGCTTATCATCGCATTCTATCAGACTAACTCACGTAGAGAACCACATCGTAGTGTCAAGGATCCAACAGATTCAATTAAAAGGTGGTATTTAATTTATCACAAATCATGTAATGACTGACGGGTCAATCAAATTGGTCAAGCTAATTGATTGATCCATCAGATCATTGGAAAATTTGAATTTAGCTAGTGTTAGAAAGACTGACGCGGTATGGAAAACAGTTCCACTGCTTCAAAGTATTCACTTTAGTGTAATAAGACAGTAGGTTATAGTGAGGCAAAAGTATAAAATAGCAATATGTTTAGGTGTAAAGAGATTAAATGCCGAATCTTTGTTCATCAAATCAACACTAAACACGTGCTGTCGAATGATGCAAAACCTGTCTCGAGTGCAGGGAACGTCGTCATATAGGGCAAATAGTAAGGCCATACACAGCATGTCATGAAATCCTGTGAATATACTGATACGATTATTGGTGATAAGTTGTACGCGGGGCATCATTCATTTCTCGATGCCATGTCACAGTTTGCTGTCAAACGAACTGATGTAATGTGCTGGAATTCTAAAATTTCATTAGATTTGGAAGCGCCACGGTCCCCATGAACTAAATATCTCTTTTAGGACATTAGCTAAGGCAACTGATATTACTTGGTCCCTTAAGGGTTTCCTGTCTCTGACTACTCTGCAGGAATATATATCCTAGTCGGTATTACCAGATTTACTACCTTTACTACTTTCTAGAGACATTCAGAATAAATAAATAAATAAATTTATTCTCATAGTACAGTACATGAGGGACGCCAGTTTACAGGCATCATCAAATTGTTACAGAAATAGAACCATATAATTCAATCACAATTTACAGGCAGTAGCAAGATATGCTTTACATGTTCGCTGGAGATTATACATAAACTTGATAAATGTTAATCCAAGTAGTATAAAACAGCCTTTTCACTTATATACAATCATTTCTGTGCAAAGTTGGAAAAATCTGCTAGATTGTCAGTGAGTGCAACACAACAGGAAATACAGGAGTATTGTCTTCGCATTAACAAAAAACCAGGTCTTTGGTGGATGGATTATAAGTGCCTGGGAGAAAAAATAAAGCTTGAAGTCAATTTTCATACATAACTTCGTTGTGTGCAGAATCCTTGAATTATAGTTCATTGATGTGTTATTTTGAACTCAGTGATGTGTTTATCTCATTTGATCTTCAATGTCATTGTTGGGAGTTAGTACATAAGCTTCGGACGCATTAATTAATGGATTTCTACTGCTTGTGGGTGTTTTCTTAGCGTGAGGAAGGTTTATGAAATTCAGCTGTTCCGACAGGAGTTGAGAATATTAACTGCTCAGCAACATTATGGATATAAGTTCATCACATTATCTAAGGAAAGGTGGGTTGCAGTTGGTGAGGGATATATGGTGCCCAACGAGCGTTCATCTGTCCATGTGATGTTGTGGTGAGTTATTTCTTTTTCATGTTGTCGGTTTATGTCCATTTTATTCCACTTATTGTGTTGGGTAGTAGTTTTACAAACGAGATTTCTTGTCTGTTTGAGGATACGTATCTTAACCGTTAATGTTTTATCTAGAATTATAAATATAGGCAAAAAACAACAGGCGTAGTATTTAAGCTTATACATTAAATGGACCTATAATTTCGGAGGCTCTCAGATAGGAACTAGAACTACTATCGTTTGCAAACTCTTGTAGTTTGTCATTAAGCACCTTTTTGAAGGAGGCCAATGTACTTGCTTGACGCATTTCCATTGGCAGTTTGTTCCATATATGTGCATACCTAATCAAGTAAAACTTTTGCCTGGTGGCTGTTTTACATTGTTCGATAGCTACTGTACCCTTAGTGTGTCTTAGTTTGTAGCCATTGTCATCTGAAAGTCAAGTGCCATTAGTAGAGGTAAAAACTAAGTGGTTTAGAAGCTTATAGTAAAGTGTCAAGTTTAGTCTCAGGCGTCTTAGCCATAGTGTTTCTAGTCCTAGGGTATCACATCTAGTGGAGTAGTTCGTACCATTTTCAGTTCCGAGTAATTTTAACGTGAAGTACCTCTGCACTCCCTCGACTTTCAATTTGTCCTCTATGCGTATGCTACTATACATGAATGAACAGTAATCAAATAAAGGACGCACACAAACCTTGTACAACAGAATTCTAGACTCATTTCTGTAGAAGTTCCTGAGTAGAAAGCCGATAAGTCTGCGTGACTTTGACACTTGTTTGGAGATATGTTCAGAAAACGATAAGTTATGTGAATATTTCAGCCCTAGGTCCAGTACAGATTCCAGTCGTTGAAGTGCATGGCCTTGAATTGTCAGGTCAAGTTCTAAGTTGTTGCAACCTATGCAGAGCCAGCCACATTTTTCGACATTAAATTGGGGTTGCCAGGTGTCACACCATCTATCCATTTTTTCTAATTCTTGCTGTATGGCGTTTACTGTTATTCCAAGATCTGTGTTCTTGCATTTATACGTCACTTTTAGGTCGTCTGCATATAGTATTGGTTTACCTACACTAAAGCATTCACAGATACTGTTTATGTATATTATGAATAAGAGTGGGCCTAATACACTTCCCTGGATTACACCACTACTTACTGGTTTAGGCCTTGAGATTATCGAACCAACTTTCGTTGTCTGACTTCGGCCACAGAGAAATGATTTCAACCAGCTCAGGAGAGGATCACATATCCCTAGTGAGCATAACCTGCTGACTAGCAGATTATGTGGAACTCTGTCGAAGGCTTTTGTTATATCGAAATATAGCACAATTACTAGTTCTCTGTTGTCCCTACTTCGTGTAACTTCATTGA